CGTTGACCGCACGGACTGCTCAAACGCGCGGACCGCGCGCAGCGTGGCTAAAATGCTGCGAGGGCACGACTTGTACAATGGTGGATTTGTACTGGGATAAGCGTTTTATCACGCAGCGGGTGCTCCGCAGTGATCTGCAGTCCATGCGGTCAACGAATTAACTATATATCTAATCTGGAAAGGCCACCTCGACTAGTGATCTCTCCCTAGTATGAGAAACTTTTTCAGAGCTGGTGATTTGTTGAAAGGTGATGACAAAGATGATGATCCAGAGGTTATTGCGCATCTAGAAAACCTCAAGAAGGAATTGGCACAACTCAGGGAAGAAGAGAACGCATATGATGAGCACATCAAATGGTTACAACAGGTTAGGTTTTTTTGCAACTTTCTCCATTGAAGTTTCCTCTCATGAACTTTGCGGTAAATAGGATCATGCTTGTAGTGTATCCGCTTGCGGCTTTCGGGTGGATCCGTTGCTCTTAATATATGATTGTTTAGAGTATGCGCAATGTTTGCGAGTCATCGAAAAATCAACGATTTGCATACATCTCACAATCCGATCTTCACAAAGTGTTTCCCGCATCAAATACTTTCGCAGTGCAGGCTCCTCCAGGAACAAATGTAGAGGTACTTCCGCCAAAGGTTCGTTTTGAGATGCCTCTCTCACATCCGACATGCAGTGAATTCATCATTTTCAGTTTGGTGCTGTTATCGATACCCGTTACCTGCTTCGTATGTCAAGTTCCTGTGGGCCTATCACTGCAGTGTTTGCCAACAAGGAAGAAGGAAGGCCTAGGGTTTATAGAGCAGTGGTTGACTCATCCCGCTATCATGTAAACAAGTGTTTGTTTCTCGTCCCTCTCAATCTTCTAATACTAGTTTAGCCTGTTGAACAAGATCTTTATTCAAATGATCCTGGGCCAATTGTCGAAGAAGATATGGATGATTCGGTAGCTTCCTCGAGAAGACGGCGGATAGAAGAGGTGAAAGGAGGTAATTTCATCAAGAGTTACGTTTCTCAATTTCGCTAAAATTATCTTTTATTTCTGAAGCCTCTGGTCGTACTTACCGCGTCAATCCTGCTGGTCAGAGTGCTGAAAATGGTACGTTTTTTCTTACTAGATTAGCTTATTATTGCTTTCTCGAAGTCTTCTTTCAGATACTTCTGCTGAATGTGCAATCGTACAAGTGCTTCCTCCTCCCAACCATGAGGATTACCAATTTCGAGTCAGGAATTACAGTAGTGCATTTGATCTTTTCGTGGATGAGATGTAGTTGGGCCGAATGCTACGTCGAGTTCTCATATTCTATTCCTATGTGATGTAGTCAGTTTTCGGAGCGGGTTCTCCTGTCTACTCGCGATGGTGCTAGCAAACCATTACAAGAACCTCAATGTGATGATCACGTTTTGAAACGGGAATACACAAACGATTTAGCATCTGAAGGATAACGAATAGAAGTCGACCGAGTGT